CTTCTCTTTCTTATAAGGTCACTTTAATAATATAGTGTTTTTTTTAAAGGGCTAATCCAGAAACAAAGAAGTTAAGGAATATTGAAATGTAAGGAAACAGTGGGAAAGATTTAGGGTAGTGAGCAGAAGGAAGGGATTCTGAGTACCACCAAAACAGGTACAGGCACCTCTTTAGTGTGCTCAGGTATAACTGGGCTTCTTCATTTTTTGCTGGACATTTAGAAGTTTGTCAAAGTTAAACCTGAATATGTTCCTATTACAGAAAGAGAAGGACAGACACAGCAAGAGTCAGAGATATGAACACATTTATTTATTGCGAGTATTCAACTACAGAAATTTCAGTAAAACCATCTAACCAGCTTTACCAACATCTTCCAATTCAACATTTCATTTGTCTTGGGTAACAAATATTACATGAATTGTTCTAGGTTTAAAGATAGAATGTGTCTTAAACCAAGAGTGAAATAATTTTTCTAAAAGAGAATGTGAGATGTTAATATTCATTGGGTCATAATATGCTTTCATTTAAAACTAAAATGCTTTACTTAAAAAGGCATAACTTTCCTTCTCCAAAATCTCATTCTGTAGATAGTCTCAGGATGTTTGAGAATAGGTCTCAGGGCATAAGGAACTTGTGCTAACTTGAACTCTAAAGTCACAAAACCTGTCTAGTAGTACTCTACTCATGCATGTGCAGGAATGTACACACACTCACATATGTGGACAATTTCTTTTTCTGACATTGACTTAATTTTAATTAAYTTAAAATTAAATTTAATTTTAATTGCACTAAATAAATACAATTTATTAAGAATTTAATAGAAGAGAATTAGAATATTTTAATTGTCTAAACAATTTTATATTTTGTTTTTTTAAGGACTTTGACTAATGAAGATGCAACCTTAAGTTTGATGTTCTGTTTAGGGAAATTTTTTTTGGTGGTTGTTGTTTCTGGAACTTTTTTTTAATTTGCTTTTTTTTTTACACAAAGAATAATATATTCTGTGTTTCATCATAGTTTCCTTTGTAGATTTGTGTCTCTTTAAAACATACTCATATTATTCAACAGATAGGTAGGTAGGTAAAGATGATACTGCTGCTAATTCTAATCTCTTTAAGGAAACATTTATTTTTACACATAAGAAAAGAAGTATATGCATTAATCAGTTAAAATTTATGTTATACACTATCATTCTAATTTTTCAAGTAACAGTCTATAACCTTCAATTTTCTCACATTCTTTTTAATTTTTCTAACTCTTCAAATAAAGATAACATAAAATTTGCTCAGAAATGGTAATGATTAAAGAACTTGATTTAAATGCTTCTATTAATTATGTACTATTAATCACCACATCCTTCACCTTTTCTTCAACCTCAATGTCTTTGATATTTTTTCTCTTCCTTTACTTAGGCCACTCATAACTAAACTAACTCTGGGCCTATAAGTTTTAGCTCCAACCCCCTTCAGCCCTAGGCAAACCAGGATGATTGGTCACCTTAATGCCAGTTCACCCTCCAGTTACTTTAAGTACTCTAMTCTCTTTCTCCTCCTCTTGGTCTCTTGGTTCACTCCTGAACTCACTGCAGCTGGGTTTCTGCCTTTATCACTCATACACATGGGCTTTGCAAGAATCATCAAATGACCTTCAATTTTTCCCTAAGGAGACTTTCTAGTCCTTACCTCAGTGGGCCTTGCTGTTGGTTTTAATGCTGCTGATACATCTTCCCTGAATCAATTCACTACTAAGGCTTCTACAGCAGTTCAGCTTACTGGTATCTAATTGTGCTTTTAACTCTATTTCATGGGCAATCTCCCTCTATTTTTTTTTTGAAAGATGATTTTCCTCAAGATTCTATACTTGGTCATCTCTTATTATTCTATAAATCCTTTGCATGGCTGATCTCACATCCTTTCATGTGGATCAGGACCACAGGATGAGGACTTTGAAATCTACTGCTCAGTCTACCTGAAATATCTGTATGTTCCACATGCCCATTGAGAATGCTGAAATTTTATGTGTAATGACCTTCACAATGATCATATCTCTCTTTCTTGTTGGTATTATCAGCAATTATCCACTTATGCTAAAAATCATATCACCCAATTATATTCTGTTTCATCTCTATTTAACTAATTACTAAATTGTTCAATTTTGCCTCCTAGATAATTTTTAAATGCATCCTTCTTTCTCAATTCTTATTCCTATTTTCTGTTTTCAAGAAATGGCCATCTGAATCAATGCCACAATTTCCCAAATCATCACATCACTACAGACTTATTTTCACATTCTTTCCTTTCTGGTACATTACACATGCTATAGACTATTGTATTTCTTACATAAATAATATTGTACTTATCTGGTTGCAAGCTAACTACCAATTTATCTTTCCCACAAAACTGTGAGCTTATTAAGAGCTATGCTTTGTTGTTGTGTCTCTAGTGCCTGCCTCTGTGCCTGGCAAGTGATAAGGGTATATAAAGTACTAAACAGATAGATGCTCAGCTCAATATGCTTTTGTAACATTATACATAGTCCCTACCCACCTCTTYCAAAGAGCCTGGGGCCATTATGCTCTATGATTCTACCCAAAATATCTCCAAAATTGTTGCACATATGGTATACACTTAATGAATAGGTATAGAAATAAAGAATGAATATTATATTCTCAGGGCAACTGTTTGAAATGAATAAGTATTTTGTGATATCATCACAGAGGCAATTAAGAAGTATTTTAAAAACCCAGATAAGGGTTAGGGCTGTAGCTCGGTGGCACAGCATTTGCCTAGCATGTGTGAGGCCCTAGGTTTGATTCTCAGAACCACATAAAAATAAACAAATAAAGGCATTCTGGCCCTTTACAACTAAAAAAAAAAAAAAACAAAAAAAAAAACACAAAAATTAAGAAAACCCCACAATTCAAAACATGTCTTTAAAAAAAATTGTAGTTGTAGATGGACAGCATGACTTTAGCACCAACCCCCCTCAGCACTAGGCAAAACATTTGCTTTTTTTTTTTTTTTTTTTTGGATGTGGTACTGAGAACCAAACCCAGTGCCTCACACATGTCAGGCAAGCACTCTGCCACTGAGCCACAGCCACAGCCCTCAAATCATAGCATTTTCAGATAAACAGATAAGAGTTAGAGAAGATAATGCTAAGTAAAGTTAGCCAATCCCAGAAAACCAAATGCCGAATGTTTTCTTTGATATAAGGAGGCTGATTCATAGTGGGGTAGGGACAGGGAGCATGGGAGGAATAGATGAACTCTAGATAGGGCAGAGGGGTGGGAGGGGAAAGGAGGGGGCATGGGGTAATTACTGATGGTGGAATGTGATGATCATTACTATCTAAAGTGCATGTATGAAAACATAAATTGGTGTGAATATACTATGTATACAACCAGATATGAAAAATTGAGCTCTATATATGTAATAAGAATTGTAATTCATTCTACTGTCATATATAAATTAAAAAATTACATAAAATACACTGATCATTTCAATAGCACATTATTTAAGATGGATGATGTGTGAATGTTTGAAATGTTAACAGGCACATCATTGAAAATAAACAACAAAAAATTGCATGGAAACAAACAAACAAACAAACATGTCTTTTAAAGCTTTCGAATGGTTTAAAAAAATATCTTCCTACACAAATGCAAGCAATTCATAAACCACACATGTTAAGGTCTTTAATGTGTATACAAAGCCTTTAATTTTTTTGTGTTCCTAAAAATTGGCTTAACCTTTATAGTGAAAAAAGTACTGAAAAAAGCTCTGAGTTTTATTTAGCATATTTTTAAATGCCATACCAACATATTTTGGGGAGTCTAAAAATTTTATGGAATAAATACATATGCATTGCAAATGTTTTCCATAACAATAAATGGAAATGGAAAAATTAGAAGGAAAATGATGTATTATTATTTATAATAAGAATATTTGTAATCTTTAACCACAATGAATTTTTAAATTACCAGTTTGCTTTTAAGTTAATACTGGCTAAAGTAAATTGCAAAAGACTTAATAAATCTGAATAAAACTTATTTATTAATTAATTTCTACTATGGACATTTGTTTCTTTTTAATGTTCACATCTTCTTATAGAAACATTAAATAGGTCCTCTGGTATCCTTAGCTCATTTAAGTAGTTCAATGAACTTAATATCAGTGATTAGAGAAAAGAGATGTCATTTTCAAGATTAATTCTTTGGACATTTCTTATTTATGGAAAATCAATAACATAGTATAACAGAGATAGAATCCTACAGCATTTTCAATGGAAAACTAAGATAAATGTAGATAATCTTAATTATGACTTTGATTAACATTAAACAACCATTTAATTGTTAACAATAAACTACCTTTAAAGGAATGCTTTCTTTTTAAGAGAAGCAGTTTTACACAATAAGAAATGTAATATACTTTAAGTGTAGAATAATAGAATCCATGCATGTACTAGAAGTATCCAGTAAAATCAAGTTAAACCCACATATATATACGCTTTTATACTCATAATTCCCCATATTTTTCAGAGTGTCAGAAATATATTAAGATAAAATGACATATATTTGACTTTCAAAAATATTGAACTTGAGATCTGCAAAACAAATTCACTTTAATGTCATATTTAAATTCATCGAATTTCAGATTAGTCAGTTTTCCAAGGTAGACAGTTTGTAGTGAGCAACTAAAAATCATTTCTACTCTGTAATTATAAATAGGTAAGGAAAACCATTTCAGGATCTTACCATGTTCAATCTTTTAGTATGACTTTCATTTTCTTGTTCAGTAGATATACTATCTATGCAGGTGTTATAAGGTGAGAGATACCATAGCCAATTATAGTAGCCTATCCCAGACTTTCCCAATAAAATAATAGTCCCATGTCCTAGAAAATTCTTTAGTCCTAATTCAAACCAGGACAGTTGTTAACACTCCTGAGATATGAACTAAATTTTCAGATAATAGATTTTCAGATAATAGAACCTTACCTTAACATCATTGGTGTTCATTCGGGTTCCCTCCTTTCCCACAAATATATCATCAATGTCAACGAGAATATATCTATCCAAGGACAGTTCCAGCTTCTTCCCTGACAAGAAGGAGATGGCATCTATGAAAATGAGCTTGTGCAGCCAAAAGTTCAAGTTGTTGCCAAAAAGAACTCTCTGAATTCCATCGTGAACACCCAAGTCGTGTATGATAGTGGCAAAAAAAGCACCTTTAGAGACTGGAGGAGAAAGATTTTCCGGGGTCTTTATTTTGGCAAATATTACTGGTTGGTAGGTTGAGTGATTAATTTGAAAAACCGTCCAGTCAGTCCCAGGTAAAGAACCCCTTTCAAGCTTTGATGATTTGGTCACACGGAGCAAAGGAGAATGAGGATTAATACAACAGTCTTTTACTGCCAGGTTTCCATATATAGAAAAGGGGAAGCCTTTTAACTGAAAGCTCTGTAGACTCTTCTCACTAGTTCTGTGGAATCCAATGACACCCACACCATACTCTACACAGTATTTATCTAAAAGGCTTCGATTCCAAGAGTCCATGTTTATGTATTTTAAAATATTCTCATAAATAATGAGAACATATTTGCCTTTAGTTTTGTCTGTAAGTGCTGGGAGATCTCCTTTTCCGGTAGCAATTTCAATGTGATACTGGAATCTACTTGATTCTAGAATCATAATGATGTCTTGACCAAGGGATGAGTACTGACTCTCCACAAACACAAGGACGATGGAGTCTGTCCTTGCGGCATCAAAAAGCTTCATTGCCTTCACTTCCATTAGTCTATATGGTAGGTGTTGGAGGTCACCGCAGTCCACTTCTGAAGCCACTTCAGAGAGTTCATTTTCCTGTTTGTAGCCACTGTACAGGTAGTAAGCAGAAATAATAATGCTCACCACACAAAAAGTGGCAAGCAAAATAACCGTCCTTTGAAAGTGTCTGTGAAGCTTCATGATAAAACTCATGATGTATAGGTTTTCCTTGACTCTTCCAACAGAAGCACCATTTAAAAAAGAAAAGAAAAGATGGTGTTTCAGGTTCTTTCCCAGTCTCAGTCAATAGTTTATGTCACCATTGCAGCACATTTGTATTGCTTGATTATGACTCACAGGAAATACAGTCTGAAAACAGAATAAAACAAAACAGTTTTCAGCATCAAAATGAGCAAATTTTTATGTGATTTAGTTTCAGACTAGGAAGCAGGGGAACTGATAATAGGTTAGAAAACTTTCCATTCCTTCTCCCAGATATGGATGAAGACAAAGGAAATATGGAATGAGAAAAAGGATATCACTGAACCCAGGTCACKATCCCTAATACAGAGAAACACTGGGCTTTGCATCACACTCTAGAGATAATACAGACCTAATACCACAGAAAGGTTACACTGCCATTTCCTGTCATCCAGATACATATCATATATTGCACATTCAAGCAGTTTATGTTTAATTACACACACTGAAAGTTCACAAAATTTGGACATGTTTCATTATTTGACACAATTAAAACAATAGTCTTTTTTCCAGAATATGAAGGCAAAAAATTTTGTCACTCAGCATACATTTCAAATTAATCAGAGAAACAACCCAATAATAGTTACTTTAATTAGAATAACCCTTTCAAAATACAGATATAATCCCACTATCCAACTGATCATTTTAGGACTATATATTGACATAGCTAAGTTTTCAAAATTCAGCACAGTTATGTGGTAAGACAAATGTGAGGAGTGAAACACTTCTTGGGGTCATACAGCTCTGTTGTATCATGATATGCACTGTGGGGGAGGGAGGCAATCATGTTCTGGAGAATACATACTCACACATTCATTTTCTATATCATTCTGTTTCTGCTTTGTGAGAAAATATCAGCAATTATATGAAAAAAATGACTATAAAAGTGGGTTTTTTAAACAATAAGAACAACTGAGATGTCATGAAACACTTTGTTATGCAGTCATTTCAAACCTGTTTCAAATTTTAGGAAACTTTGAAAATTTAGCAGCTRAAAATAATTAGAAGGAAACATGGATACATCTTAGACTTTCACAGAGTCTCTTATAAGGAAATATCATGTAACACATGCAAAAAAATTAAGAAAAGTCTCCTTGCTGTACTTAAGACAGGCTAATAGGTAGTTGGTTAAACAACAAACATTGGTGGAAAACATTGTACTTGATATTTGCCATAGTTTAGGATTCATTGTGCCTTGCTTCTTAATTGCCATTCTGTCCCCAATATCCTCCAAATAAAATGATGAGGTTAAAATAAATGATTACCAAGAACTCTACATTTTAAAATTCTGTAATATCTATCTTTAAAAAGAGCAGTGAACAGTTTTTAAATGATGTATGTTTATCTTTACGAATAATATAAACACTATGAAATATAGCAATAGAATATTTATGATATTTAACTTGCAATTTATATTATTGTTTATTCAAATATTTAGGGTATCTATGTCATTCATTCAAATATTTATGGAGTAACTATCTGTTTAAAATACAAATGTTTGGCATAATTCCTTTGAAATGTTATAAAATTTAAAGCAGAGAGTGACTAAAATCATAATAAATGGGTTGTGCATTATAGGCAAGAAACTATAATGGGATGATAAAAGAGAAACTACAGTAAGTGATGTAGTATGTAAAATGCTCTAGGGAGATATAACTTGGGAAAAACCTTGAAAGATGAGAGTAATTTGAATAAACACTTGAAATATTGGGGATGTCATAGAGCCAGAAGTGAGCACAATATTGGGTGAAGTACCTGAATGAAAAGTAGAAGGTACAAGTGAGGAATACTTACAAAAATTTATTTTTGTAATTATGAAGAAGTTTGATACAAAGAACTTTATGGTTATGAAAGCTCACAGGCAGACATTATACTTCCCTGATTAGGGAACAAGCATAGTAACAGGAACATTTTTTAGGAATTAGAATTAAACAGCATCATGGAGAATGTCATAGACAGTTGAGTCTGGCTAGCCATATACGTACAATATAGTCTCATTTCCTACAACATAATCATGAAATGTTAGTGGTCATTGGAAAGGGAGAATATGGGGAAGTGAGGGATACTTTAAATCTGTGAAACACTTTAGATTTTGCTGAAGAGTACTTGGTATGCCATGAGAGGTGTGTGCACAGCCTGACTGCTGTGGAAAATACCACCAAGTGATTTGACATGCTTTAAAATAAAGCTACTATAAAGAATAACACTGTACTCTTTAAACAAGCTTAGTACAGGTCTATGTGTAATGTAAGCAAATGAAAACATTACCTGAACAATGGAGAGTTTTCATTGTAACTACAGTCATTTCATTTTGATAAGTAATTACACTTTTGAATTGGTTACATGTTTATGAATATGATATTCTGGAGTTTAATGGCAGTATACAAAATCTCACATCTTTCCCTGTCTACCTTTCAATTTCGGTTGTGAAATGTTTTTGACTGGATATGAGATGTATTGCTTCATTTTGCATTTCATGTAACATTTCCCAATTTGTTTCCTTTATCAGAAGTAAAATGTATTTAAGTGATATAGTACTCATCAGTGATGAGGCAAAGGGTGAGGAGTATTTCYACTCACTATTTAGAACTGATATTAGGAACCTATCAAACTTATATTTTTTGTTAACAGGTATAAAATGTTGAAGAACATTTTTTCCCATTAAACTTTTCAACTTACTTTCTGATGCCAAAGGAATTTCACTGTATGTCCCTGACAGTAGAATTTGGTCTAATGAATTTAAATAGATACATTAAGTTTTCCCCTATTTTCTGCAGCTTTTTTTTTTAAGCGAGAAGGGAAGGGGAGAGAGAGAGAGAGAGAGAGAGAGAGAGAGAGAGAGAGAGAGAGAGAGAGAGAGAATTTTTAATATTTATTTTTCAGTTTTCGGTGGACACAACATCTTTATTTTATGTGGTGCTGAGGATCGAACGCAGCGCCCCACGCATGCCAGGTGAATGCATTACCGCTTGAGCCACATCCCCAGTCCTGCAAACAGTTTTTAATTGCACATTTCACTTGGCTGTGGTCAACTTTAATCTCCAGTGTGGACTCTCTAAATACATTATTTATCCTTACCCAGAAACAACTATTTCATATTTTCTGCTATGTTTATGTTCTGAAAACCCCAGGATGAAGTTCTACAGTGGATGTCACTGTAGCAGTGGGCAGAGGCAAAGGCCCTACCTTCTCCTGAGCCCTGCCCCACACAGCAGGGACATCACTAGAGGAGGTATTAAGATAGATGATTAAGTTTCTCCACAAAATTCTCCTATGAAACTTTCTGTGGCCTTCTCAACTTGGTAAGACCCAATAGGTCCACATGGTTATTGTGCAAAGTATCTCTTCTTTGTACTTATTACCATAATTATAATTGAATTTTTGTTTAAAGTCATTCTCCCAATTGGACTAGAAGCCCTGAAAGGATAGAGTTAATGCCTCTTTTGTTCTTCATTGTTTTCCTTGTTCCAGGACCAGAGTAAGAACCCAGTAACTATTCATGAAAGTTATTGAATATAATGGCATGTTATACCTATCCATTAATTTACACTTAGAAGTGTACTCTAATGTMATAACTTTTACAGTTAGACATGACTATAAATGTGATTATAGTTACTCATAAATTTGATAAACTTAGCATCTGCTTTATTGTACACTAAGTAAATATAACTATAGCAACCCAACATATGATAAATCTAATGTAATATCTATAAACCTTTGCTGCAGTCCGGCTGCAAACTTGTGAGGAACTTGTGTACATTGATACAGCAGGAGTGGGAGCCGTTTATTGTAGGACAGGAGGAGTATATATCCTTTCCACACAGCTTATCCTAATTAACATAAACTAGATACAGCAGTCAACCAATAAGTAATCTCCACACTTAATGGCTCACTGGCGTTACTTCACAAACCACTCCCTCTTGAAAAATGCCAGGCGCCATCCAGACTTGTTTACAGACTCTAACAAACCTTCATCCACTAAAGGTATCTATCAATTAGTCATTCCATAATCAGACATTAAGTAGTTATTAAAAAACTTCTTTGATATCACTGCTGTACTCAGTTTTAGGGCACTATGTAAATAAAATTAAGAATTAAATATTGCCTCTATAGAAGTAGACTGTATTGAGGGAAATGAGCCTTGTAAACCAAAAACCAACATTATGCTGCACACAGTAAAAGTTGTAAGACTATCTATGTTACAGGTTTCAGAAGAAAGAGGGTGTGTTGGTAGGGGAGATTAGTAAAGCTTAAGAGAGTCAGTGGCAGTTTCTAACAGTCATGGTGCCTGAGAAGACATGGGCAAGGCCTGAATATGGGGATGGGAAAAATACAGAATGCAAAATCTCTAGCAGTCAGAGAAATGCAAATCAAAACTACCCTAAGATACCATCTCACCCCAGTAAGATTGGCAGCCATTAGRAAGTCAAACAACAATAAGTGCTGGAGAGGATGCGGGGAAAAGGGCACTCTTGTTCATTGCTGGTGGGACTGCAAATTGGTGCAGCCAATTTGGAAAGCAGTATGGAGATTTCTTGGAAAGCTGGGAATGGAACCACCATTTGACCCAGCTATTCCCCTTCTCGGTCTATTCCCCAAAGACCTAATAAGAGCATGCTACAGGGACACTGCTACATCGATGTTCATAGCAGCACAATTCACGATAGCAAGATTGTGGAATCAGCCTAGATGCCCTTCAATAGATGAATGGATAAAAAAAATGTGGCATTTATACACAATGGAGTATTACTCTGCATTAAGAAATGACAAAATCATAGAATTTGGAGGGAAATGGATGGCATTAGAGCAGATTATGCTAAGTGAAGCTAGTCAATCTTTAAAAAATAAATACCAAATGACCCCTTTGATATAAGGGGAGTAAACAAGGACAGGGTAGGGACGAAAGTTTGAGAAGAAGATTTACATTAAACAGGGATGAGAGGTGGGAGGGAAAGGGAGGGAGAAGGGAAACCGCATGGAAATGGAWGGCGATCCTCAGGGTTATACAAAATGACATATAAGAGGAAAGGAGGGGTAAGACAAGATAATACAAATGGAAGAAATGATTTACAGTAGAAGGGGTAGAGAGAGAAAAGGGGAGGGGAGGG